AAAGAGAAAGAGTTTTTGATTGGAGTTCAAAACTTAATAATCTACCTGATAAGTAGGCTCTCTAGTAAGGACAACTTACTAATTGTGACAATCTTCTCAGAGTTTGCAAAAAGTCCTGAGAATATCCCCCTTCTATAATTTCACCTCCATCATATTTATACCAAGCTTCCATCCATATCTCTATTAGAAAAAGAAAATATATTTTCTGACTCCAGGAAACTAGAAGACATAGAATCAGCATTAGCAGAACATTGGCTGCTAATATTACTTAATGCTTTTATCCAGAAGCTTCAGTACAATAGGGGTCAACTGGAATTAGAGATGGATGGAAGATCTTGCATGAATAATAAAGAGACAAACATGTCCCCTGAAAGAGTCAACAACTGAGAGCGTTATTGCCAGGAACAAAGGAAAGTCCCGTAACTAATTTGAAAAGCATCTTTCATAAATATATGCTACAGTGGATATATATATTTAAAAGATTACATTTGAGAGTAAAATGTTACTTAACTTGGGTTATATTTGTAAATCAATTAACACTCCTGACTTGAAGACATCCATGAAAGTAATATGTGGGTTATGGTATTTTAAGTGGGAATAAAATATGATTCAATTTTCCCATAACTAGACAAAATATATAAACCAGGATTTTACCACAGGAAGATTTTTACTAAGCTCACTGTCAAAAGACTGCCTAACACTCTTACTCCTCTCCCCATGAATTGCATTTACAAGAGATTTGCTATAATGAGAGAACATTAACAACAGCATTTTTTGATATATTTAAAAATACAGAGAGATACTGTCACCACTGCTTTAAATCAGTATTTTTTCTTTTTCCTGAACTTCCAGAATGATTCTAGTGTCTTATCATGTTGCAGATGAAACAGTTATTTTGGCAACCTGCCAAACACTTTCTGTTTGAAACTTAATATCCATCCAACTGGTAATAGAAGTAACTGTTTGACCTCTTCCCTCTTTGGATTTTTTTCTCTTCCTGTTTGCGAACAACTTATTCATAAAGATCTCATGGTTAAGTATGTCCCACCTGAGAAACTTCTACACCTTTCTGTTTTCTGCCCATGAATCTCTGAATGATAAGAACCGTACAGGATTGTCAAAACTTCTGCAAAACTTTGTTTCAAAAACTGAGTTAAAACTAATGCCATAAACCAAACTTCCCTGATCACCAATTTGGTGGTATATAACAACTTCAGAACATTCTCCTTCTCTCTCTAGCAATGCATTTATTGCCATGTACTGAGACAAGCACATGTACATCCCGATGTACACTGACACCAGGTACCCTAACAGCAACAATTCCACCACAGAAGGTGAACATACTACTACTGCTAAAGAAATTGTTTTGAGAGAAATGTCTGATAAAGTGTAGGTTTATGTAGACATCCAGGAATTGCTGAATTCCACTACCATGTTCTTCAACTGTGAAATTTATAATTCTTTTCTGCCTCATAAAAGGAAATAGCTGAGAGGAGAATTGATAGAGGAGAATGCCCAGAATATACACCTGTCTTATTCTCCTCCCAATGCACAGAAGATGTGGTACTGTCTTATCTCACGCAGCTGTTGTTACATTCATATAACTTGAATCTTCAAATGGATCCATTACTAAAAAAAAACCAAATAATTGCAGAGATTTGAACAGTTATGAAATGAATAATTTTTCTTATATGAAAAGTGAAAGAACAAATACAGTAAAGATCTCCTTACCAATAGCATCTCCATATAGCAAGATAAGAAAAACTTAAGCATCCTACCACAGTGTTCTCAGTACCTGACACAGGCTTGGTCCAGTACACTAAGGCAATAGTAAAGATTCATTTATGGCGCATAAAATTGTCTTATCTCTGTTTAGGTCTTTGCTGTACGGAAAAAGGAGTAAGGCAAACCTAATGGTTTGCAGTGGTATAACTAGAGCCATGGCACAGTAGTACTATTAAGATTACATAAGCAGATAAGAATAAATAAATCACAAACATTGCCCTTATAGCTGCTGCTAAAGGCCTGTGTTAGATAAACTTGACAAAGTTACTGAAGCTAGATTGGATGGCTATGAAAAAAAGAGTTAACAAAGCACATCAAGAAATTAAAGTAGCTGGAAATGAAAGCTGTTATGAATATGTTAAATGACCCTCACATGCCAGAAAGTAAATTCTGCCCAACCCTGGAGTGCTACCAGAGCGCATGGCCACACCAGTGATTTGGACTTTCAGATAGAAGCAGCGAAGGTGGCTGTCACACCTGAGTATGAAAGATAATATCAATAAGCTTATGATAGAAAACACAAAGATATGGACAGGAACAAACTGCTCTAGGCAAACACAAATGGCTCAGACCAATAAAAGGACTGTGTACCTTTTAGACTAGCTGTCCACTTTTTCTGATTATATAAGGGCATCTAATAAAAAATACCCATTTCCAGAAGGATTTGGGTTCTCCTACATCCAGTAACTATTACGACTGAAAAACTTTAACAGAAGTAACAGCATTAACAGAAGTAACAATTTCACTCCAAATATGCTCAGAAGTCAAGGTTCCTCCTGGATTTCAGAAAATCTTCTGTATGGCCAGTATATTATTTCTGACGCAACTTGGAAAAGAGAACAACAAAACCCAAAATATATGAAGAAATACAGAACTGGCATGGAGCACTCAATTTCCAGCCTACTGAGATCAAAAGGCCAAGTTTTACAGCTAATAGGAGAATCCATGGGAAACAGAAAGCGGGGCTGCAACTGCTACACAAACTTTATTAACTGCCTTGATTGGTTCACCTTCCCTAGGGAGAAAAAAAAAAAAAAAGCAAAGGCAGAAATGGGGCAGTCAATCATGCAGGGATTTATTTCAAGATGTGGCATTTTCTCTGCTTTCAGATACTTCCTCTGAACCTTGAATAATGTCATTTCCTTCTGATTACCCTCTTCACAGTATTAAGAGCAGCCCACAGCTTTCAGATTGATGGAGTTATGCAAAATGTAATGAGTGGTAAACTAGATCATTAATTCTACTGGTTAAACAGAACAAACTTCTCCCTCTATCCTCTTGGGCTTTCTGCAGTGGGAGTGAAAACCACACACAAAAAAAACAACGAACTGACAACTAAAGATATTAGTCTATTAAAACGTGAAAAGAGCTAGTTTTAGGTGTGCTTTTGCATCCACCATTTTCAAACCAGAAAATTGTTAAATGCATCTGAACATCATGATGGACAAAATTTACCAGAGAGCAAATAAATGCTGCAAGCAAAATGAAACAGGAAAACTCAATGTATTTCTTCAATGGCAATACACCAGAACTAAAAAGGAGGCTGTGACAGCTTTTCAATGGTCTGGAGGTTTTGTAGTCATTCATCACCACAGTGCCTGCTCCATTACATTTTGTTCAAGGACTATTTGCATATATCTAAAATGGGAATGGGACAAGCATATATCACTCTTTCTCATCTATATGTTGAGTAGGTGTTTGGATCCAGAAGTTTCAGCCAATTATTCACCATTTAAAGTTGTCCTCAGTTACTATTGTGGAGATCCAAAGAAAGATAACTTTTATTGGTATGGTTAAACACTGAGTGTTTGCCAGAAACTCATGGGAATTATATCCTGAGCAGCAGCTACTCCTTTTTTACACAACTTACATAGAACAAATTACTTTTTAAGATACAGAAGAAAAATTTTTCTATTTAAAGCTTATACTTTTGTCTTTAGTTATTGATGTATTACTAATGGGACTCAGCATCACCCATAAAATCATTAAGTTAAATTGAAGTCCATTACAACATTATTTTACTGAGCCATTTTCGATGCACTGTAGATCTTCCCATTCTTCGGAACATTTAAATGAAATATTTAACCTTAGTAAGTTACATATTGCTAACCACAAAGCATTGAAACATGCTTTTGTGGACCTGCATTGCATTTCTATTTGGCAGAAAGTAAAATGAGTTTGTCCACAGTCCATCAGTAATCTACGCTCATCCACTTCTCACTACAGATTGGAAGAAGTTCTGGTACAGCAATGGTTCTAGCAAGCGTGCTATATACTGGAAAATGTTTTTCATTAATACTTTAATTTTATTTAAATGATGCACGTGCAGTACTTGAACCATATACAATTCCATAAAACTGAATGAAACAGTTATCTTGAGCTGGAGCCCACTGGGAGCATTGGCTCTGAAACATGAGACCACCTTTGGTACAGTACAAATACTATTGCCCTCTCCTGAATTGCCTTTTCTGTAACCTTCTCCTAGGCCAACCTTGTCCATGCAGGTGGCAATCATCTGAGAGCAAGCTTCAGCAGGTTTAGGTCTAAATCATATAGGGTCTGTCATTAACCCTTAGTATTCTTGCAGAGAGCAGACTTTCCCCTCAGTTAATATGCAGATGAGTTTGTGCTTCATAACTGACAGTTCTGAACTGAATTAGTGCAATATACCTGTTGTGTAGCTGGAATTAGCACAGAGACACAGCTCATTTTTGTCCTGACACTTTTCACAGAAAAATTTATGCTGAAAGTATTCCCTAAATGGGGAATCGAGATAAGAAAGTTGTCTTCTTATGCTTCTCTGTACTCAGTGGAGAAGCAACCTTCACTCACAGAAGCTTTTCATTCAGCAATATCAAAAACTTCATACTCTGAACTTGTTTCCCCTTAAGCATATTAATAAGAAATATAATTAAAACATCTTATATAGTGACGAGAACCCTACACAAAAATTTTGAGTAATACAGAGAATAGCTATTTGTGTGTTAGTAAAGATAATAGGAACCCTTTGGCAAAAAACTATCAAGCATGTTGTGATTTGAATCAAGATTTGAAGAGCTAATACTACTTTTTCTTTCAAGGTAACTGCAATACATTCTTCACAATTTTTGCAGGTTTGAAATGTTACACATAGTGTGCTAAGAGACTCTCAATTTAAAAATAACAGTAAACCAAATAAAGTGAAATAATTTTTAATTCCCTTTTTAAATGTGCATTTGAATTTCATACAGATCTGTAAGGCACTCTTCATTGGTAAAGAAAATTAAACATTCTTTTCCAAATAAAGACAGTTACAAGGCAATGGTATGTGCATAAAATATAAACTTATCTGTAACTGATAAGCAATGAAATATGAATGTTCAGATTTTGAATGCTTTTCTATGTAATGTCACTTCTGTATCATGACTCTATTCAGAGTAAATATTGGCACTGTAAATGATTTCTCATTGGGGTTAGGGGTTGTATTCTCTTCATATCCCAGTAAAAAATAAACTCTTTAATAAATAAATATATAAAATAAATATATGCTATCTGGAGATGTATAAATAGGTCCATCCTGGAGAAAAGTTCCAGCTCTGACTACGATGTATTGACATCTAACGTCCATCACTAAAGCGGAGCCAGTAAAACTTCATATACAGTTCTCAGGATTTATATTTTACAGTACATTTCTTTCTGTTTCTTCCTGCCGTTGTGTCATTCATAGGATGTAGGCAGTTCTTTGCTAATCTACAGACTACAGATAATCCAGACAAAATTTCCAAGAGTTTGTTATTTTTAAAAAAGTCACACTTCCCTCTGGTTACTGGCTACCAAACAAATCACAAGTTTCAAGGAGGTTGATCCACTCTCAGCTTTAAGGCTTTGTCTCCTAAATCCAAAGGTTAGAAAACAGAGGCTTGCCTTCACAAAGTAGCTTCTTTGCATCCAACATCCTAGACCTCTGCAGGTCCCTCAGGCTTGCATTGCCAGGAAAGCAGGGGCAACAGCTCCAGTTTGGGTTTTTTCCAAAGCTGCTTCCTTCTTCAGCTGTATCCTAACACATCTTTATACAGTTCTGGAACTCTTTCAGGATCCACAGGCCGGGGCAAGAAATGTGTGAATTTCTGGTGTCTTTTGGACCTTGTCCCATCTCTGGGAGTACCATCTTTGTTAAGTGCTACAAAGTATCGCCGCCCCGAATCTTCATGTTTGTACACATTGGATGAGTAAGTGTTGTACCAGTTTTCCTCAAACTGTTCCCTGAAGATGCATTCAGAAGTTAGTTTCTCCTGCAGAAACAAAGAGCAAAGAAAAATAAGTTAAGCTATCACTAGATATCTGAAGACATGAAAAAATATATGATAAAAATAAACAAAATGCTTAAGGCTTTGTGTAGCCTTACTGTTCATTTAACTGTCAACAAACCAAATGCAAGGAGATTATGTGGACCTGACACTAAGTTTGGAAACCTAGACCTGTACGTACACAATTTTGGATTTAAACGTGAGTTAGATAACACTCACTCTAAGAAAGCATTACTTATTTATAATTTAATTAAAATTCATCAGACTTTCAGGAACTATATTATGTAGAGTTCTGTCTCATTACTGTTCTAGAAATGTGATTTGGTGGAGGGACTCAGGTGCACTACAACATATCAGGAAGGTACTTCCATATGTTCTTTGTGGTATGCATCACTTCTCACATTTTAAACTGGAATAACCACAACCAAAGTGGAAAAACAGAATATTTTATCTCAAGATCTTTTAAGACTTGAAAGGAATAGAGTAGGACTGATAGTATTGTAAAAATCCATAGCTATATTTTGTTGAAGTTATCTAACACATGAAAATCAACTGTCATGAGTACAAATTTACTTTCATTCTTAAACACAAATATTCCAGTTGGGATCTAAGATACTGCCAGTACTCTTGCACCATTCAGATTTTTCAAATAATAGTGGTACTTATTTGTGACATATGCTATTACGCTCTTTTCCCCAGCATTTGCAACAATGCTTTCATGTTGTCAACTTGGTACCTGGAAGCACCACCTGCTGATTTTTAAAGGAGCATTAAACTATACATAAAGTAAGTCAGGTATTATATTAATTGTTGTTTATTTGTTCAAACTATCCTTTTAACTTTTTTCCAGTTGCATTTTATGTTTTTGATGACAGAGTATGCACTATGATACATTTACAGAATTCATAAAATAAAATTAGATAGCACATAATGTAAATGCTGTTCCAATTGCTGATTTATCTATTTTTGTCATTATTTAAGAGGAATATCTCTTTTCAGTTCTCTTCATCTAGGATAGAGAAACTTTTCCCATTGAATCTTTAGTATCCAAAACAATACTGTATACTTCAAAAATATACTACACATTTGAACAGGAAAAAACGTTAGTGTTTTGAAAGCTGAGATGCTAGTTTCTTGAGGGGTTTGCATAGTGTTAAGAAGTGAATCAAAACCTCAAGATGTATGAGCTGACATGGATGTGGTACTTACAGAGCCATAGAGTTCTCCTTTCTCATTCATTCCAAGGTAAAGGCCACTGTCCACACCTCTAATACTGACCAGTCCCACTGCCACACTGATGAATTCAAGAATACCTGGAAGAAAAAAAAAGGATTGCTTTTATTCATTTTGTAAGCACACAATACGTAGCGTCCAAAAACGTGGTTGAAAACAAGAAAATGTACATACTATAATAAATGTGGTCTACTTTCTCTGAAATTTCAAATACTACATGGAAATGCACTCAACATTCCCAGGAAAGCAGTTTGAGAAGCCTCATCTAGGAACATGAATCCTACATTATTTTAGAAACTTTTTTTTAATGTTGAATATGAAAGGATTTTATTCAGCACAAGGCTAAAGCCATCAGCACTCTGCTGTTGGAATCTAGAATGATTTGCTAGAATATTTGCTAAACTGCCTATTCAAACACTGGAAGATAGGATTGAATTACCTGAAATCATACTTTACTTCTATAGAGTTATCTTAAAAAAACACATCCATTATTAGATCATTTGAATGGAAATCAAAGTACAGATGGGAATTTCATATAACACAATCTACCCACAGAAAAAAAAAAAGTATTTGCCAAACATCTTATCTAGCATATGGGCCCACACCTCTTGACGCAACTTGCTGTCTTCAGTACAGGCTTTTTAAGTATATGAAATATGCTGCTTTTTTTTTTTTTTGCTACTGTTTGGATTACAACAATATTTATATTACATTTGCCCAAAAATGTAATATATATTAATAAAATAAAGGTTTTGAGAGATGAGGTACTATTTGAAGCCTGAATTTGGCAAGGGTAAGCCAACATACTTAACCAATTGATATGCACAGATTACAGTATATACAAAACATGAAAGAAAGGGAACGTGTGAACTGGCTTTTTGGAAGTTGTTAACAATGTAAACAAAGCCTCAAAAAGAATTTGTGCTAGAATCATACCTAAGATTTTGCTGTTCAGCAATTAAACCACAAAACATTAAAAAAAGATTTGAATCTAAGGTAAGTAGTTTTAAATAAGGCATTTGATTATGACTTTTTGTCTACTTACTATTTACGATTTCAGGACAATTTTCACTCTCAGACAGATGGACTGTCCAGACTACTCAATAATTTAAAATGTTTTGAATTTTAATTCAACTTTGGCAGGTTTCTTAGTTATATTAAAAACCACAACAAAATAATAAATCCTTTGCAAAGAGTAAGCATTAAAAATCCTTATCACACATAAATCATCCTAGTTTTTCACTTGCTAAAGCAAAAACTCCCATAAAGGAGGTGGAGGTATTTTGTCTTTCTGATATCACTTTCAAAGCCACCCTTTTCCAAAACCATAATAAGCAGGTGGTACAACCCACAAACAGACAAACCTACTGAGAATAGCAGTAGAATAAAGGTAGTACAATTCTAAAAAGCCCAGTAAATGTTAGATCTGGGACTAACTTGATTTTCCTTTTAAAGCAAAGATTTATTTCATGTTTACAAGCTGTAGGAAAACTTCCTTCTGAGAAGATCTGTTTGACTACCGTTTTTCTACTTCTTAGAACATCCATGCGTTATAAAAGCAATTAAGAGCCATTTCAGCACATTGTTTTGACTATGGGGAGGATGATAGGAAACTCTTTAATCACCTTTTTAGGACTGCTAAATCAATACACACCAAAAGTCACGTGCAGTTGACAAAAGGAGGTTTGTTCAGATGTCCAGCTTCTACAACTAATATTTAGGTTTTACTCTCATATCTCGGGAAACGTTTACTTTTGGGGGTTGTCTTCACCTCTTTGGGGTTTATTGACAGAGAAACCTGACTGGGAAGCATTTTAAGCATTTAAGCAAAGAGGCATTTTAGGCTTCTCAACTTAAACGTTCTGTCCTGCGAAGCAGAGCAGCCTAATGCAGCCTAAGGATCAGCATGCCCAGGTCCGTGACCTATACTGTTCTACAAAGACTCAAGAAGCTCGACACCTATAGCGAATAGAAAAAGGATCGGCCTGACTCGCGACTTTTCCCACTCCACTAAACCTGCAAGCACATGCACGTGCTAATAGATCCCCAGCATAGGCTGAGCAAAGAATACATGCCTATCTCCTGGCTCTCATGGGATGTGCAACCCTCCCTCGCTACCTCGCCCTTGTGCAGACCCCATGGTCTAATGCCAAAGGGTGAAGCCGGTACTGAGGGCTCATCCACCTGCCTCAGCATCACCAGTATCACACCTCTCTCCCAAGAGCACGACTGCTCACGTCCAGGTACACAGAGACTCCTTTACACAGAGACATAAACACACAAACCAGCACCCGCACAGACACGCACCCGCACCCGCGTGTGGTAGCGCGCACACGCACACGCCGGGGCCATATCGCCTACCGAAGAGACTGTGGTCCTGGCGGGTGCCGCGCACGCTGCCGTCGGGCAGGATCTGCAGGTGGAAGCCGGTGCGGCAGTACAGCTGCCGCCGCCGCAGGATGCCCTGCAAGTGCGCCAGGTCCGCCGCCGCTGCTGCCGCCGCTGCCGCGCCGCCGCGGGCCGCCCGCTCCGCCGGGGCGCGCCGGTCCCCGAGCAGCGCCGGGCGCTCCCCGGCGGGCGGCAGCAAGAAGTGGGCACCCACCGGCTGCCCCAGGCCGTCCAGGCCGCCCAGGAAGCCGCCCACCTCGGCCAGCGGAGCCATGGGGGCGCGGGGCGAGCGGGCTAGGGCGCGGCGGCGGCGGCGGAGAGCGGCTGCCGGCCTCTCCCGGTGGGCATGTGGGGGTGCGCCGCGGAGCCCCAAGCATGGGGAGCCGGCAGGGCCGAGCGGAGCCGAGCCGTGCTGAGCTGAGCCGAGCCGAGCCGAGCCGAGCTAAGCCAAGCCGAGCTAAGCCAAGCCGAGCTGAGCCGAGCTGGTGCGAACCAGGCAGCGGGGTGCTGTTCATACGCCCCGCGCGCGTGTATATATGTACGGCGGTCCCCTGACATATGCTAATGAAGGCGCTGCGGGGAGGCCGCGTTTGAAATTGTAAACCGGCTCCAACTCCGCTCGCACCTTCCTCTGATCTGCACTGACGGCGGGGAGGGGGCTCCGGGCGCGCCCCCCGCGCGCAGCCGGGCACTGACGGGCGCGCACACGCGCGGCGCGGGCGCGGCCCCGGCGCGGAGCGGGCAGTGGGGGGCGGGCGGGAGCGGGTCCCGGGCGGGAGCTGGCGGAGCATTACGTGGACAGGTGCAAGGAGAGGCAGGAGGGAAGAAGGAGAAAGGGCGTTACCTGAGGGTTAGACCTGCCCAGACACACATGAAAGAAAAAAAACAAAGATCTGACAGTTTTACTCCTTGTTTCTAAAACGCTAATAAAATGTACATGCATTACCCTTCCCTTTTATCACTTCAACTACAAGGAGGGGGATTTCTAAAGAAATTGGCATAGTCAAGGAAGGTGTTTTCCCCTCTGCAAATTCTCCCTCACATTTAATTTATCATTAATGTGACACGAAACTGATCCATAGCATTTGGGTATTGACAGGAGGTCTTAAAAACATAAATGGGCAACACCACTGTTTGCAGATATAAATATTTTCAAAACTTGCCGAGAAAAAGAAAGAAAGATCGAGAGGTGGCTCATCTAATCCATCTTCTTTGGGGTTTTGCATCAGGCCCATAGCCAAAGTCTGGGAATATCACAAATTAGCAATATCTACTGAAAGTTCCCTGTTGTCCTTCCACAGTGTTTTGAAACAGTTTGGCACTTTGCTGTCCTGTTCGAGATGAGCATATGCTTTTTTTTTCACCCCCAAATTAGAATAATTCATGCATGCAAATGCATTGGTGGGACACATGCTCATTCATTATCAGCAATGGTAAAAAAATGTTATATTAAATCTAAGAGCTTAACTTTTGCTATCTTTCCTGTTTTTTCCGTAAGGTCCAATGAATTTTAGGGCTGAAACGACATGGCCCATCTTAGCATTTAAGAACGCAATGCAGTTCCTTGCCCATGTTAAAACACAGAATTAGAGTATAAAATGCAAAGATCTTTCATAGTTAATTCTTTCAAAAGTTCAAGAGAAACACTTGGCAGTTTAAGGTTTCATTTAAACAAAAAAGTTGCAGAGAATCATGAGAGATTAGTTCTCCCGTCTTGCTTCATGGTCTTTTCAGTCACAGTCTAAATCTGAGAGATCAAATGGATTTGATTGCTTACCTTTATTTGCTACGGAGAGTATAGGGCTAATTAATTGGCAGGTGCTTTAAAGCAGGTAATGCTACACCTTTTCATCACTGCAGTCCTAAGTACTGCCCCTGTGTGCACCTGAATTATAAAAAGGCTGCTTTAAAGCAAGTGATTTACTGTGGAAGGATTTAAAACTGAAAAAATTAATGCTAAATACAATGATCAGATAAATCACCTCAGAAGAGAGCACAGGCAGACCTGCTCTGAAGGCAGTTACAGATAGATGTTATATTATTTTACCTTTTAGATAACAGGAGTCTGTCATGTGGTGGGACCCAAAAATCCACCATAATCGAGATTTCAAAGCACATCTGTGTAAACATTATCACATCAGTGTAAAACATCAACCAATGAGCTTTCTCTTTGAAGCAAATCTACTTAATTGTAGTGCTAAATCAAAGAAATAGATCAAAGTTGAATAATCTATATGGCACCTATTTCTCAAGTAGCCTGTACACTGATTACTCAAATATACCTAAAACGTTTGAAACACACATCAAGTATTTTTATTGACATGACTGGCAGGTCAAGATGAAACTGCTCATCACAGCTGCTGAGTTGCAGTACATGCACTAGGATGGTACAGCTGAATGGAGGAGGTATATTCTTCTCAGCCTAAAGATGCTCCTATACAGGTACTGTTCCTGGGTCCAAGAAGAACCCTCGAGTCCTACAAATAGTATAGGGGTTTTCTGGTCAGATGGCACCACTGTCTCCAGTAGAGCAGGACGGTTTTTTTTTTAAAAAAAAATCTTCAGTCATCACACACTGAAAGATCCTTATGGCTAAATCTTTCCTGTTATATAATGGAAACATTTAAAGTAGAGTGGAATACACAACATCGATCTTTTCCGAGTGGAGTCTTTAATGTCTGGGCACTAAACCGGTTATGCTGTTCTATAAAGTACCAGAAAAGAAACAAAAAGATAAGCTTTTTTTTGTGTGTTTGCACTAGTCATGTGACAGGAAAAGATAACACTAAAGTTTTTTTTTGCACCTTCTGAAACTCTACCATGGGAAGTTAAATAATTTGGAAGAGGGTTTTTACAAGAGTGCATAATTCAACTTAAAGTATACAGTACAATCTAATCAACTCTACGTATACTTCCTAGAGACGGCACTTTCAGTGTCATTGAACAAATACATATGTGGTTGAGTTTTTATTTCCATAGCAAGTAGTTCTGGCTTCTACAGACAATATAATTACTGTATATTTCCCAAGAATAAGCAAAACCTGGTGCCTACAAAGAGTGTGGACAAAACAAGGGACTGCAATCTTTCGCAGATAGTCTGGAGAGAGAGAGAGAGAGAGAGAGAGAGAGAGAGATCGACCTATGTATCTATAAAGATCCTGATTGGTATAAAACCGTATGTCCTGCAATTTATTGCACCTTTACTAATTTTAGAACCCCCTTACAACACTGCTGTGCCAGCCGTAAATTTTTAATGACATAATAAAATACTGGGAGGGTTCATGAATACATGAGAAAGAAAACACTTGGCAGAACAAAAACCACCAAGTATAACATAAAAGGATATGTCCAGCTACAGATACCTGGGTATCATGGTCAGTTCAAGATTCTTCCTTGATTTGGACAAGAAAACATGGTTGGCTGCTTTTAACAAGGCAAGCAGAACATGCAGAAGTTGCAAGTGCCTTTCTGAGCACTGCAAATCTGAGTGAAACGAGGTGTATTTTTGTGTAGAATTTACTAGAAAGAACAGAACCTTTTCCAAGGCTCTGTGTACAAATCAGGTCATAGTCTGATGATCAAAAGCTTTTAAAATGCAATACATGCAGATTTAAAAAATATTCACAACTTTCTCTTCTGAACAGATACAGTTGCAGAGATGTATGCGTACATGTATATATAAATATATCTACCTATTTGCAAAAACTCAAATGAGAGAAAAACTATGCTGAAAAAAATTTTTTTCCTATGGAAAGGGAGTTCTGCATTTCTTACACCTTCATTTCTTGTTTTATTTCTTTAAATTAAGTCATAAATTCATAGGGCTTTTTAAAATTCTTGATTTTTTTTGTCCATGTTTTTGCGGACACACATGAATAAACTCCTGTATAAGCAGAATGTGACGGAGAAGCTAGGTAGCAAGCACACATTTACATGGTTACATCCAGTGAGAATAGACCGTTTCCATATATCAACATTCAAATGCCTCCTTTGGCAGCTTTTTTATTAGTTCTCTAAGTGAATCACTGGATTAAAACCACCTTGATTTATTTAAATTACATGCTTTCTGAATCTGTGCATATAAGATGTGCAGGCAGCTTATGTTTTTTGACTTGCTGCACAAATAAATTTTGCTCTTGTTCCTGAGCAAACAGCTCACCAGGGAAGTTCTGACTAACATATCCAGGTGTAAGTAGCTGCAGATGTGTATTGGATTTTTTGAAGTGAAAAAAATTTAGCCTAAAGGTGTTATTGAAAAGTCATTAAAATGTGTCTTACCAATTTCAGGGAAACAATGTGAACAGGGAGATAAATCATGGTTCATATCCACAGTTTACATGATTGATGAGCTCCTAACAGCTTTACTTTGGGACACTACATTGACCAAAAGTGGTTTCTTTTCCAGCCAAACAGAAAAAGTAGGCTATTTGAAAAAGGTAATGGTATTGGTGAATGATGTCTCCTAACGAGGCAGCTAGAACTGAAAAGATTCAAGACACATCCTACAGAATTTTACAGACTAGATGGTTAGTCATGTAACTGCAGGAAAAGTACTCGAGTTTCAGTCATATTAAGCATCTGAAACTATTACTGCCTTGACACCTAAATATTGGCTTTTAGTCATTTAGAACAGAGATATAACTCAGATTTGGAGACGACTTTTGATTCGGAATCATACATCCGACATACTATAAAATAAAGCAGCAGATAAAAAAAATTAAAAAAAAAAAGTTAGTTTTTGACAGATGGGAATAATGAAGTCAAGGGAATTACTCGAGGGATGAATTTGCTTACAGTATTCTAAAATATTGAAAGAAATGCAGTAAATCTATCATTCAGCCCAGATACCTGCCTTCCCAGCTGTAGCTCTGAGGAAATTCAACCACGGCCATGCTTAGAGTTGCCAGACAGACTGTCTGTTGACAAACACGGCCACACTTTTCCCTTGACACAGTATCACCGTGTCACTGAAATGTTTTTTAGAATATGAAAATGCACGAGAGTGTCTTAAAGCTATTGAAATGAGTCATGGTTTGTGTATTTTCCAAAATCTTTTTCATAATAATATACAAAGTCATCAAAGATTTAGGGGGGAAAAATGGATAATAGGCTGAAACTTGGGAAAAAAGTTATGTACAAAAGAAAAAGACAGGTTCTACCCGGCCATTGCAAAAAAATGCCATACAGTGTGCTGTGTCTTGAAGTGTTTGTTTGCAGTTTATGAAGTTTCAAGGAAACCTAGGTGGTGATGCAGGTTGTACCATGGAAGAATGGCCTAATATGAAATGC